TATATGTTAATCTATTTAAAAGATTTTATCTTACCTATAACTAATGTATGTCGATTAAAACCAAATGATCGTCTATACATAAAATTATAATAACGATGAAAAAAGCTTGGCTCTTGAGGAAATAAACATTCATGAAAATGAAATTTTCGACGAATTTCATTTCGTGATATACTATGACCGGTTTGATGGAATAAAATTTTTTGTATTAAATTAACAATTGGCCGTTGATGTTTATCAAAATAATGGGATAATATATTTATTAATTGTTCTTTTGTACATATATCATTTTTATGTATAATTGAACTTTGATTTCGTTTTTGTAAACTTTCTAAAACATAATTAACACATTTTAATGAATTTGGTTGATCAACCATTGTATTTGTTAAAAGATATGTTGAATTTTTCATATATTTACTCATATAAATAAACCATTCGTATGATATATCACGATTATTTGATTTTGAACAAAATAATGTTAAACCAACAAATTCAAAAATATATGCAAGAAAAAATGCTAAAATTATAAATATAAATGTCCATTTGTATTTTTGTATATAATTATGTGTTGTTGGCATAGCAAGACGTTTTAATGAACGAGTCATAAATGTTGTTCTATGTACAGATATGATACACATTAATATTAAAGAAAATCGTATATATGTTTCCGAATGTACAAATGGAACTAATGGTTGTGGCCATGTTTGTGTTGCATGTCGATATGCTCGTGCAAAAACTGTATTTGAACATGATTTTTCTGGATGTATATTTAGATTAAAAAGTGTTTGTGAATAATAAATTAATTTAATTAAATGCAATAATAAATAAATAGAATCAGTCAATAATAAAACAATAAAATATGGTGTTATAATACGATGACGAAATTTTTTACGAAGAAATACCAACATACATAAACCATTGCCTGATGAACCCAATGTAAATAACAATAGAACAATAACTGTACATGATACGACAAACATCTTATATCAAAAAAGAAACAAAAAAAAGAATTACTATGGATACTAAGAGCAAAGGACCCGAATAAGAGTGTAGACTATCTATAGAAATAGACTATAGGCATGAACCTCAATAATAATAATAATGTATATCTTGTAAATGTATATTTTGGTAAAACTAATTGAAAGTTACATTGAGTCAATGCTAAAAAAAGGAAACAGATACTGATAATTTTCAATATCAACGTATTATCAATGAAAAATGAAATAAAAGTAGAAGTTGGTTTACATCAAACAGAATTTGGATTTTTGTTTTTGATGTAATTAGTTGTTGTTCTCATGCAATTAATTTTTTTTATTACCGTAAAAAGTTTCTCTGAATATAAAATAAAATAAGATTGAAAAAAAAACAAGACAGACGTAGACAACATAAATTGTCGATCGACAATAGGATATTTATTAATGACACATCGATAACAAGTGAGAAAAAAATGGCTATGTAATAAAATATAGATAGAAAAGAGAAAGAATATAGAAAGAGAATAGACAATCATATTATTTACATGCTGAAAGCAAATTTTGTTAAGTGAAAGGTATTTTTACGTTTTGTAAAGCATAATTTACACCTTTATCTTCGTTCGTTTTGCATTAATTTTAGAAAGAAAATTTAAAACAAAAGTAAAAGAAATTAATGACGAAAAAATAATTCTAGTTCTACTTTTTTAAAAATAATACACGAAAATTAAATATAACTTTTCAAGCTTTTTCTACTAAGTATAAGATGAAAAGTGTAATTATATGTTTATCAAATGTCCTATCTATTGTAATATAAATATGACACATTACCATGAATAATTATGTTTGACTCTATAAATATATAATTATCATTATATGTATTTCTTGGTTTAAAATATGCCGAATAATATAATTTTTGGTTTGAATATATGAAAAAAAACTGACTAATTAATCACGTATCTTTTTACATTATTAAAAATAGATATTTCAGGGAAATTAAGGTAAACCTGTCAAAATATCTAATAGAAATCATTGTGTTAAAGATCCTAGAATGCAAGTAGATTATGAAATATTTTTAACGGATATAGGTAATATATCTTAACAGGGTAATATGCGTAAAAATATGACAATATAATTATTATCTTTTTTGATAGAGATTAATTAACCTTTCAAATAATCTAGGATTCACTGATAAATTATTGAAGCAATAAAAATATAACTTTCTTTAAAAAAAGCACACATCATAAATAGATAGGAATTACGGTTGTAAAGTCAACGCTTTTCATAAAGACGATTATTGTTAATTAAAATAAATGAACTCAAAATAGGAAGGAAAGCGTATATGACGTTCTAAAATAATTGTCAAATTATAAAAGTTGTCTTATTGCACTAGATAATTGTTAAAAACGTGAAATAAACATACAAATTCAATTATACACCTAAAAAATTATCTCAGAGAATCATTCCATCAAATCTGTTGAAATATTTTCTATGCTCTTTCATCATTATTTTCAAGTTTCAGTCATATGCACGATATGGTTCATTAAAATAAAAAGAAATATCATCGATATGTTCTATACCTATGAGTAAAATAAACGTAGCATTTTTATTAAAATACGAATCTAACCTTTGATATACAGTTAGTAAAAAAAGTACCCGACTACTCTGCTCTAATCTTTTGTGAAGATTTAATTCAAAGAAACTCTTTCAGAAGACAAATTTTTATGAAAATTATATCTGATAGAGAACTTTGTTTGTTCCATCCAGCGAAGATATTTGAAGGAAAGAAATAACATATTTTCAAATTGAAAATAATATTTTGTCAAAAATCAGGGAACTTTCGGGGGAAAGGGCTATGTCAGATTTGATGACTCGCTTTAATTAAGAATCCACATATGCAGTTTTGTAGAGCGGCTCATAGCGCATCGAATGGTATGTAGAAAATCATATTTTCATCGAGTCTTGATACATTAAGAATTCGTATACTGGATGGGAGACATAGAATGGATAAAAGTATCCGAGTACGTTGACCTATTTCCAATATTTACTACTTTTCTTAGATGAGAGTATACACTATAAAAGTTCTGTTTTCACTGGTAGACAGGTAGATGTATCCTGCATCAACACTAGAAAAAACTAAGGTCAAAGATCCTTTTTAGCCTTATTGACAAATTTTTCAATGTGAGAAACGAATTTTCGTGCATCCATAGGACGAGTCTCTACACATTGAAAAATTTACCAATAATTCTAGAAAGGATCTTTGACCTTAGTTTTTTCTAATGTTGATGCAGGATACGTCTGTCTATTTACCAGTGAAAACAGAACTTTTGTATTGCATAGTCTCATCCAAGAAAAGTAGTAAATATTGGTGATAGGTCAAGATACTTCAATGCTTTTACCCACTCTATGTCTTCTATCAAGTATATGAATTCTTAATGTGTCAAAACTCGATGAAACTGTGATTTTCTACATACCATTCAATGCACTATGAGTCGCTCTACAAAACTGCATATGTGGATTCTTAATTCAAGCGAATCATCAGATCTAACATAGTCCTTTTTTCCCGAAAGTTCCCTGATTTTTGACAAAATATTATTTTCAATTTGAAAATATGTTATTTCTTTCCTTCAAATATCTTTGCTGGATAGAACAAACAAAGTTATATTATTTCCAATAATGGATGCAGCAATTTCTAGAAAATGATATCAAAGATAACGTTATTTTTTCCTAATTACAAGAACGTAGCCCTTGTGGATTGTTTATGTCAACAATGATCATGTGTTTTTCGCTCTGTCTGAAGCAGTAGTCAAAATACATAAAATGCAAAACAAAGGTTACAGAATTAGTCAAAAATTCGCATTTTTTAGTTGTTTTGACGAATTTTAATTGCTTTCGAGAGCTATGATCTGCATTAGACAAAATTTAAGAATAGATTTGGAAAGAGCGTTCAAAACTGAACATAAATGTCATGAAGAATTACTAGGAGTCTGATTATTTTCAATACTGAGCATATGTTTTGGTAGGCAGGAATAAATCAATGCCGTGAAATTCTTAATCGGAGTTTAGAATATATTCAATATTGAGAATAACTCGACTCGTAACGATTCTTCATGTTAGTTATGCACAGTTTTGAACGCTCTATCCGAGTCTATCATTAAGTTTTATCTAATGCAAATTAGAGCTCTCGAAATCGGTTTAAATTGGTCGAAAAAAACTTTATAAAAAATGTGAATTTTTGATCAATTCCAAAACTTTTGTTATGTATTTCAACTACAACTTCGGATAGAGCGACAAAAACACTAATCATAGTTGATATAAACAATAGATTGGGAATTACATTCTTAATCAAGAAAAAATTTTCATCTTTGACCTCAAGTTCTAGCAATTAGTATATGCCTATTTCTGATGGAAATTATTTTTCATAATCTAATTTATATCTTTTATCAATACAATTTGTCTTGATTACACAATAAAAGATTATTAAATTTACTTGTCGGCTGATATAATAATGTCAGTTTTAACACGCACTATTGATTACTTGATAGTGACATCAAAAAAAAAAGAATAACAAAATAAATCCACAAATGCCTTAGATTAATTGAAATCTTTTCTAAAAAATTTCAATTAACAGCTATTTTTCTAATTGATTGGAACTTTCATTTATTACTATTTATTTTTATTTTAAAAAATAAACTTCGGATAGTTTGGTAAACAACTGTTGATCTAGTCAATCTTTTTTATCGGTGATTTTTTTGTTTCTTCTTTTCATTTTGCAAAGTTTTTACACAATGAATAATCTTATGTTAATTTATGAGATTTTACTTAATTGATTTCTATTTACAAAATTATTCTTACTAGAAAGTTATAAAAAACAATTAGCATTTTTTTTTTTGTTCAATGAAATGTCATCGTTTTAGCAAACGAGAAAAAAAACTTA